TGCTGCGCACTGAAGAACGTATTCTCGGATCGTTCGGCGTGTTATGAATATCACACGTGATACCAATGCGAAACGCATCCGCTCGAACAAAGCCCCATCGATGGAAACAAACGCTCTGTTTGTAGAATCGATTTTGATTTCGCTTGCGAGGACGCTACATGCGTGCAAATATGTATCGCAACGCGTGTCGTGTTGCGTGGAGGCGCAATCGGCGGCAAGCTTTAACAGGCGCGATTTGCTTGGAAGTTCACGCGCCGATTTGTCACGGAACGGCGTCGAAACGCGTGGAATGCAGCAAACATCGTCGACGTTACGCGGAACCGGTGGCTTTGGAATGGAAACTTTCGCAACGTTCGTCCCCCGTGTCTCGCGCGAAACTTGTCTGATGCATTTTTCCTTTTTTTCCTTTTTTTTTTCTCTCTCTCTCTTTTTCTCTCCTACACAGCCTCCTATATGCATAACTCGAATCTCCTTTTTTAACGTGTCTCCGCCGCACCCTCCCATCTTGCTCTTACGTAAAACCGGAAGTCGTCTCCGTACGTATATATTTCAATGTCGAATTAATTTTCTCACCGCGATCGCGATTCTCCGTTCGACGCATCACGTTGATGACGAACGAACGTGATCGTCCGATTTCGAAAGACGAGGGATATACGACCGGCGCATAATTTAAATGGCCGGGTTGACAGCGTTAAAATGACGCTGCACGTGCGAGCGAGCGCGAGAACGTGCAACGCCGGCCACTCCTTTTATGACTTTGTTCATATTCCATCGATTCATTATTCCGGGCACACGTCGCTCAAGGACATGGTGCCTTTGCGCGAAGATCATCGAGTGCATTTGCAAACGTGTTACCACACCGCGTTTATGCGCGGTGTTGCGCCACGTTACATAAGAAAAACGGTGGCTCGAAAGCGCATCTTCGCAGATCGACCGTGGATGGACGTTCGTACGTTCGAAAACTCCTCTATATAATCGCCATCGAACGTGACAACGTGATACATACATACGTAAATACCGATGTACCGAGATTCAGAAAGAACAGGAATTTCACTTGGTTTCGCCGCGAAATTAATTTCAAAAATCCGATCAATTGTCTTTTATTACCAATGTCAAATTTTTGGGATTCAAACCACCGAAAGTTGGTCCTACGTTGAAATTGCGCGGACCATAACGAGCGACCGAATACAATAATTCCGTCGCATTCCGTTTCTTTCGAACTCGGTCGTTGTGATATCACTGGACAGATGTTAGTAAAAAGTAATGAACTTAACGTTTGTTTTGGGTTAATTAAATTTAAACATACTTAAAACTGAGAAAAATGTTATAATTTGGAACAAAAAATGGCACGTCATTCCAGCGCAAGAGGTTCAATGCAATACTTCATTTGGAAATTCTTTTCACATAAAAATCGGCTATAAAACGCTCCGCGAATTCGTTAAACATATCTCTTTCTTTCTTTCTTTTCAATTGTTTCGTTCGATTTCGTCGAAATTCCAAAAGAAGCTCAATTGTCGTTTGAGTTAAGCATGGACTCGCATGGTTCGTTTAACTTGCAATTAGTTCCCGGAGATAAAACTCTGAGCCTCGATGTTTTTTTTAACATTTTCGAGATATACGATGAATATCTTCGTCGCGTATCTCGAACGTACCACGAATTATTCAGCAAGCGAGGCGCGCGGTGGTTCGAGAATATCGGGAAATCACGTTCCGGCGTGGCGTTTTGCGTCATCGGATTCGTCTCGTCTCCCTTTCGAGGGAGTGACACACGCAGGTGGAATAACGATGGGTCCCTTTGCGTTTTCAACGTTGGAAAACAGTCACCAAACGCCAGAAGATTCAATTTTCCACGCGCGATCGAAAGATCGCGATTAATTGCGAGGATGTCGGACACAACAACTTGGAGCAACGTCACTTTGAGGAAGATTCACCCTTTGCGTTGGCAAATGGTTGCGCGGACCATAACGAGTGACCGAACTCGTCGCTTTCTTTTTCTCTCGGACTCGTCGGTACGATGTCACCGGATAGAAATTATTAAGAAGTAATAAACTTGTCCGGGTTACATTTAAATGCACTTAAACTTGAGAAAATGTTGCAATTTGTTCCAAAATTGTAGTACTTTCACAGTTTCAAGTAGATTCAAGTGAAATAAAATAGAATTTGTCATGTCATAGCGACGAGTTCGAAAAGAAAGCGACGAATCATTGTGTACGGGTTTGGTCACTCGTTATGGTCCGCAATCAGTTGCCAGCGCAAGAGTGGTTAAAGCTGAGAAAATCTTGCAATTTGATGTTAAAATGGCACGTCATTCCAGGGCGAGCGGTTAATAAACCAACGAAAATTCATTTTTACATGAAGCCACAGCAAGCTGAACACGCTGAACGCTTGTTAGTTAAAACGAAAGTTAAGCGTGGCCGTGAGGGCACTGTACGTTTTACTAGTTGTCATTCAAAAAGTGTTGCTGAATGAGAGACATTATCGATTCGCAACCGGCTGAATGAAAAACGAAACGAAACGAAAGCAAAACGAGACGAAATTAGTTTCTATATCTCTTGTCGTAGATACAGCGTATTAATCTTTCTCATCGATGAGAGTCTCGAGTGTAGCGCCAGACGAGAGTCGGCTACCTATGCGCCATGCGTGGAAATCATGGTTTCATTCATGCCAGACCAACGTTACCCTCGTGTGTGTATGTGTTGCTAGTATACGTGTGTGCATGTATATTCGCAAACGTGTGTATCTGTGTCACGATGCGCGTGAGCGTGCCGATATCTTGCCTCGCAAGTCCTCGCGCAAACTGCCTCTACAAGTTGGCCTGAAAGTCTAGCCGCGCACCTTTATCTCTATACAAACTACTTATTGTTAGCGCGAGCTCAAACAGCAAACAATAAAGTCACACAGATGACAGACTATTTTGTTCATCGATTTTCCGTCATCAACGCACTTCGAACGGCGAGAGGAAACTTCCGACAGATTCGCTGGCCTCGCTTGCGACCACGGATTTCGAAGTGAGATCACACTGGCCATATACATATACATATACATATACATATACATATACATATACATATATATATATCGCAGATATCTAATCAGGTATTGAATGTAACGCGTCAGATCCTATGTCCAAGATGTTCGAAGCCTACCGTCCGATCGAAACTTTTTCCAGACGGATCAATCGCAATCTCGAGCTCGATATACGCCCCGAATGATTAAATGCTCGCGTTTCGCGAATTTCTTGGAAGGGGGGGGGGCGAAAGCGAGTCACCAGGGATAATTTAGCAACGTGCACATTATTACGCGAGAATTTCTCGAACACCCGATAACCGGCGTATTTATACGCGAGGGAACTTACGCGAAACACGTCGACGCAAACACGCGGGCGCATGCGCGCCAGATCATTAGGTACGTCAAACCGAGTGGCATTCATTCCTATTGCCATTCGAAGCGAATTACGCGGCTGCGTTCGTGTGAATGCGCGGTGCCGCGCATGCGCTCGTACTCCGATCGTATTCCGCACGAAGAGAGAGGAAACTGGCAATGAGACTAATTCAATTTACAGCCTCCGAGTTTTCAATCGGCCACTGGCTTTGATAAATCGTGCACGCCGTTTGTCGACCAAATAAATAAATTCGTAAGAAAAGAGAAAAAGAGAGAGAGAGAGAGAGAGAGAGAGAGAAAGTAGATCGTAGCTCGCTGAGGTGTATAATAATCAGAGGAGAAGATAAAGAATATCCAGTTAACGTAGGTCCGCGAGTCGACTCCGGTAGAGATAACGCGAGATAAAGGCCAATGTGTTTACTTCGAGTCAGATTTTTATTTTGGCATTCAACACGAGCCACTCGATACGTCTATCTTCCCTTTCGACGTTTCATTATCATACCAGTCCATCCGAGGAGAATGGTATATCGACCCACCAGAGAAACGCGAGAAACAATCGGCCGTGCTTGAATTCAGCTTGGCGAATTTCATCTACGAATACCATACACGCCCCAATGCATTCGCAGAAACGGTTCGAAACGAGCGAATACTTTCCACGAAAGCGCACACGACCCGCCTACGAGGTCAGCATTCTCACCGGAAAGGGGGAGGGGGGGAGAGAGGGGAGGGAAGGACGTACGAAGCCGAATGCTCGCGGAGGAAACGCGGCTACGTAAAATGTGTCGGGCGTTACGGACGGAAAGGTGGCAGGCTACTTTCTCGCAAACTTTCTACACCAGTAAATTTCATTCACTACTCGGGCCCCGTGGCTTCTGGCTGGCCTCTATGAAAGCGTAATGTGACTCAATCCGCGGCGAGTCACGCTCGCTCGCTCGCTTCGACCGTCGAAGAAATCGCGCGACCTCGCTCGTCGTCGATCGTACCGAGTATCAGCGAACTGAATGGCAAATTTTCTAAACAACGAACGTCGAATTAAATCGTCACAGGTATAGACAGTGACGGTACGATCTACGTATCGTACATTCGCGCAGTCCGCTTGTGCATTATTTATTAGAATTCGTAGCATGCATTGTGTAAAATTCCCTTGCAGATCGATTCCATCCGATTAACCACCTGCGCGGACCATAACGAGTGACCGAACCGATTATATACGATAATTCTTTCGAACTCGTCGGTACGATATCACTGGACAGAAGTTATTAAGAAGTAATAAAACTTAGCTGGCTTACGTTGAAATACACTTAAAATTGAGAAAATGTTGCAATTTGGGACAAGAAAAAAAACTCTCGACGTGCATGGCACGTTATTTTGTCAAGCGCGAGAGGTTAACGAGAAAATCGTATACGCTCGCTGCCCATGTTGGAGAGATCTAGAATTAACCACGGAGTTATCCCTATCCGTTCAGAGACCACTACTTTATTACGAGATTAAAATTACGGTTACGGTCGTTAGCAGGGATTCGCGTAGTCGTGTAACGAGAAACGACGACAAAAGGGCGAAAGAAGAAGGAAGAAAAGAAATTGCAGTTTCAACATTGACTCGGATGTTCATTGACTCACCGTTTCGACTAGGGGGCCGTGGAGGCGCAGGATACTGGGGCGGCGTCAAGGGTGGCGGCTGCGGCGACACTCGCGCAGGCGAGGAGGTCGTTGAGCCTTGGATGGAGGGCACCGCTGGTATTAGCGTCGTCGACGTGATAGTCGTCGTAGCCGCCGTCGGTGTCAACGGGGACGTTGTGGTGGTGGCGATGATGGTGGTGCGCTGCCCGATGTACCTCGAGGCGGTGCTGCTCGGGCTGTTGTTGAACGGCCAGGGCGGGCGCCGCGGTGGCAGCACCGGGGGCGGCTCGTAGTCCAAGGTATCCACACTTCGCCACTATTTTTTCACCTGTATCCTTCACCGAACCGCAAAATCACCATTTTAGATTTATTCCTTCGCTCCGGTTTCCGCGGCACGAGCACCAACTTACTGGGAGGAGCGAGCCGCGATCTTTCTCTCTCTCGTTTTGCCTCTCACTAGTCTCCCCTTGCTCTCTTTTCTTTATCCGTTTGAAATTTGCGGAGCAACACAACACGTGGTCTGCGTACGAAAGCGGGGGGCAAGCAGGAAACGAGAAAGAAAGACGGAGCAACGGTGAATGCGCGCACCGTGAATTTTCGAAAACGAAATATCGTTGGTTACTCTTCTCTTATCTCTCTATTCTCATTCTCTCTCTCTTTCTTTCTCTCTCTCTCTCTCTCTCTCTCGCTCTCTCTCCCTTTTGCTCTCTATAATTCTATCTCTTCACTTGTCTTCTTTCACACTACGTCACGTCACAACACGTAAACACACGCTCCGGCGTACAGGTTACTACAAACGCAATGGCATAGCGTGGTAAAAACAACGTAACAGAGGAACAAGAAACTCGCGTAAAAGCGACGGATTATATCGGTTGATTTCCGGGATTAGGAACGAAAGCGGCGAACGCAGGGCATCGTAGCTTCAGCGTAAGAGTTCTGTCGAGAAAAACACAAGCACGGGAAGAGGAGACGAGAGAACCGAGTCGAGTCGAGCCGAGTCGAGTCGAGTCGAGTCGAGTCGAGTCGAGGCGAGTCGAGTCGAGTCGAATCGAGTCGAGTCGTGGCAGGGCAAGACGAAGTGAGACCGGGGGTAAGGCAAGTCTACAGGAGGTTGGGCGAGGCGAGGCGAGGCGAGGCGAGGCGAAGCGCGGCAAAGCGGGGCAAGACGCGCGGTGAGGCGAGGAGCGGAGGGGCAAGACGAGGTGAGGCGAGGTTACAACGACGTAAGGAGAAAAGAGCAGAGAAGAATACGAGTAGAGGAGGCCGAAGCGAGACAAAGAGAGGCAAAGGGCGGAGAGTCAAGGGAGTACCAAGGTGTGCTACGTGGTGAAGCGAGGTGAGGAGAGGAGAGGTATAACGAGGTGTGGTGAGGTGAGGAGAGGGGATGACGAGACGAGTCGAGAGGGGGAAGAGGCGAGACAGAAGGACAAGACCGGTGAATACACTGCGGATTCTTCTCGCGCACCAGGAACACACACAAGCTCTCTCTCGAAGCAACGATGCGCGCTCTTCTCCGTCTCTCTTTCCCTCTCTCCTTCTTTCTTTCTTTCTTTCTTTCTTTTTCCCTTTCTCTTTCCGCTACGGGACGGTTGCCGGTCGAGCGAGAGCGAAAACCAGAGAGAAAGAAGACGAACGACGAGTGTGCGCGGTCGAGAAAGAAAAAGAGAGAGAGAGAGAGAGAAAGAGAGCCGACGACTGAATCTCGCGTAGACCGTCTGCCAGTAAACAGGCTCCTTCATTCACTGCTTATTTTATACGGGCGGCCCCCTATGCTCCACAGAAATAGCCACTTCGCTCTATCCTTGTCGCGCGCACACTCTACGGCCGGATATGCCTTCGCTCTTCCTCTCTCTCTCTCTCCTCATCGTTCCTGCCTCTCCTTTCTCTCGCACTCTCGCATTCGTGTCACGCGGCTCGCACCTCGAACAACAGTACTGCTGCTCGCCGTGGAAAAGCAACGAGTAGGACCTCCTCACCGACGTACTCCTTCTCGCGCATCCTTCTTTCCTCCTCTGCGGAACGTTAATTTTTCCTGCTTAAAATGCGTGCTTTTCTTTTCTTCTTCTTCTTCTTCTTCCTATCTCTTTCTCTCTTTTTCTCGCATACACGTTTTCTCGTGCGTAAGCTTGCAGCAAGCTGGGATGGATACCTGCTCTTCGTTACTGTTTCATCTCCTCCTGCTGCCGCACGAGACACTACCACCGCTCTCTCTGTCTCTGCCACTGCCAGCAAGCACCCCGACGACGACGATGCCGACAGGTGCGTCACGATCAATCGCGTCGCCCCGTGCTTCCGCGAACCAACTGACACTGTTGCCGGAGATTTCCCGGCAAAAAGATCCGAAAAAGAAAAATTGTCACTGCCAATTTCCTCGCGTCTCCTTACAGTCGGAGATGTTCGCAACCTTCGATTACGACTGACTCGAGTGGTCTCTGCATTTAAACGATGGTCACTACCGGATATATCGATGTACGCACTTCCTCCACTTCGTTCCGTGGCTACAGATACAGATACTTCCGGCGATCTACGCGAGATGAAATCGACGTTGGTCGACGTTGGTCGAGCGGAGACCCTTTTCCCGTGGAATCACACACGATTCTACGCGACGCGTCGACGTTAACGGCGTGGACCACCGTTAAAGCGACAAGTGCAACGCGTGCGTCCGCAACGTACCAGTGGCCAGTGTGAAACGTTCGCTCGCGTTCCCCGATTCTTTGAAGTGACAAACCTCCGCTCGATTTCCCCGCGATGGCTGGCGAATTGCGCGCACACACGAGCGAACGCGTATACGGGGGAGCCTGGGTATTCGCGGCGCACGGTCCTCTCTTGCATTAAGCGAGCACCGAGAGAGAGAGAGAGAGAGAGAGACAGAGAGAGAGAGAGAGAGAGAGAGAGAGAGAGAAGGAGAGGAGAGTCGGAACGAGCCGGATGGGAAGGAGAGAGAAAGAGAGAGAGGGAGAGAGAGAAACGAGGCAGGAAAAGAGGGAGGGAGGAAGAAGCATAAAGTGGGTTGCAACGATCGTCGGTGCAAGAGAGAGAAGAAAAAGTTCAGCTGGCCTCGGCGGCCATGCCGGTGTAGATCGTGCGAGTGCAGCCCAGGCACGTACTGTCCGACCCGCAGGCCCACCACTCAACACCTCTCTATTTCTCTCGCCTTTTCCCTCTTGCTCCCTTCCCTCTTCTTTTATTCTCTCTTTCCTCCGCACTTCTTTCTTTCTTTTTTTTCGCCTCGACCGCGTATTCCTCCAGGCTTCGCTCGATCACGTACACGGGCACGATCTCTCTCCTTCTCCTTTTGTCGTCTTTTCTAACCTCTCTTCCCTCCGACGTGTTTTTTTTTTTTCTTTTTTCACGTTCGTTCACGTTGTTGCCGCGCCGGTCGACGATCGAATCGATCCCCCGAGTCTCCGAGTATCCATCGAGTCCTTCACGTTCTCCCACTATTCTACGATTTAAAGCGTACGACGACACGTTTACGTTCCCTCGCGTAACGATCGAAACGCGGCCCGATCTCGCTCGGGGATGATGTACGTAGCGGACGAATTGTCAAGCAACGAAACTCTTCTCTCGCTTGTGAACGGAGGCTCATCGTTCGATTTCGTTCACAGAGCGTGAAAGAGCAACACGCATGCGTACATTCGCATGCGATTTACTCTTCTCTTTTCTTTTTTCTCTGCTCTTTCGAAGTCGAGTAGTATATATCGTCTGTTCTTCCCCCCCCCCCTTTCCTGCGTCGTTTACGTTTTCACACGTAAGGGTACAATTGTGCGTTTCGTTTAAAGCCGAGGCGGCCGGTTGCTGGTATGGCGTTCTAAACTCTTTGCTTGTTGCAAACAGCGGAGCAGCGGCCGCTGTCTGTCCGTGAGTGAGGTGCGCGCGATGCGCATGCGCACTCGATCATACCGAAAGTTGCATACGCGCGCGTCCACTCATACGCGCGCGCGCGCGACCGTTTTACACGTAAACGTGTGCATACACGCCGCCACGGAAAGCACCGTGACGCCTGCCATCTCCCCACCACGCTTTAGCCTGCCTTCGTTCGAGTATACCGTACCCCGCGAGCCAGACGCCGATACTTCATTCATGCTCGTATTGTGCGGCCAGGGCTGCTTCTGTTCGACCAGGTTCCACGCACTTTTCGCCAACATTCGTACACGTGTACCGCGTCTAATCTACCACGCTCACTCTCCGTTCCCTACGCTCAGTTACATTCATTCACTTCACGTCAATGACGAAAATCTATCTCCCGCTTGCTCGTCGAGCGATCCAACTTCCTCTCAGAGATTGTATCAGGCGCGTGCAATTAATCTTGATGGAAAAACGTGTAATTTTGTAAATTACAAATAGCAAGCGAGGCGAAGAAAGTGAGAGAGAGAGAGAGAGAGAGAGAGAGAGATTCACGGTCGCGTGAATTTTCGCGAACGCGGTGAATTAGAACGCGTGGAGAGAAATGACGAGAGTGCGAGAACGCGGTCAGGGAGGACGGATTCATTGAAGGATATCGAAGCGGGAAACGATTTCGCTCGCCTCGTATTCTCTCATTGCTCTCCGGCGGTGCCTGAAAAATCCACCGTCGTTCACAGTCGTTCAGGTGATCGAACGTCGTAAAACCGATACCCCTCTGTGTACTACGGGTCTCTCCCACATGTCGGCGATGCTCGGCTCTCTTCGTAAATGTCCGCCGACTACATCCTCTTTCGTCTTCGTCGTTTCTTCCCCCCGCAGCGCGGTACGATCGTCCTCGTTCACCATGCGTTCGTCTCACTCCGTTCGTTTACACGTAAGTCTTACACCGTGACTCTGTGCCTGTGCCACGTTATTTATGCGGCCGTGTGTGCGTGTTCCTCCTCCCACTCCCTGTTGTAAGGCAGACAGTGAGCATAAACCAGGCTGTCCTCGTCGCTTCCAGCTTGGCTGTCTCCGTTTCGCACAGCCGGGACACCAGGCAGCGCAGCAGTTCGGGTATTAATCGGGCACGCAAGTTTCGAATCACGAGCGCGGAATATTGTCATGATAAATCGACCAGACTTCTGCAAATAAAATTACCATAAATACACCGAGTTGCATCATGCCTCGCGCTCTTTCATCTCTCGCGCAATCATACGCGTTTTATCCTCCAGAATTCGCCAAATATATATCGTGCCGCGCTCTTGCCCACGATCGCGCACACTTTATTTGTATTTTGAGTTTATTTATCTCGACGTTGTTGATGGATGGACAAATAAAATGTCGAGGTATGCGGATTTGGCAAGTCCGCTCGCACGTAACGATCGTAGCAGGAAACAAAACGCGATAAATACATTTTTAATTAATATAATAAATAATAGTTAAAGTCTGAAATACATAATAAATGGAAAATAAAAGATATATAGTAATATTTAAGAATACTTTGTCAATGTGAATTAAAAGGAAGTGCATATATGCATTGTACAAAGTTTCCCCGATTGCTCCAAAAATGCGCGGGCCCTGGAAAACAGGTTGGGCGCGCCGAGTGCCGTACAGCAATGTATTAAAAAATGATAACAACCTGTTGGATCGACAGGAATCCAAGTTTTTAAAACAGCCTTAAAAATAGTAAATACATCTGCTTGTCGAGTCGAGCAGTAGTTTTAAAATTTTCAAACAGACGAAAATAAAATGAAATAACAATTTTTCTTAACAGACCGTGATTCGCGGAATCACGCATCGAATTTTCAAACTGCTTCTCCGCAAAAGACAGAAACGTGTGACGTACGTCACGTCCCTCCTCGATAATCGTTCGCTTTATGCAAACACGAGGAATGTAATAAATATAATCTGATCGTTGGTAAATGCGGCCCACTTGTATGCAGGGGTTGGAGCGATTTTACGAAACGCATCGACACGTCGCGACGGTGACGACTTTTAGTACTCGGGCAATAAATACGGTGAACCGG